CCAGAACTCCCAGGGCGCTCCCAGGGCACCCCAGGCGCCCCTCACGGTGAAGCAGCTGCCGCCCAGGGCCCAGGGCGCTCCTTGGCGCCCCAGGGACGTTCCGTGGCGATTCCAAAGCTCCCGGGGCTCTCCCAGGGCAGATTGGCGCCGAAATCCAGACCCTACCCTCGCCGATCAACGAGTCGGGCAACTCGACGGGTGGCGGGGGCAGGGCTCGGGATTGTTGACGCGTCGCTTATCCCCACCAGCCCATCCAGAAACGATGCCCAGGGGAGTTGAGGTAATCATGGAAGTGGGGGAGCATGCAGAAGAGCAAAGGGCGGGAAAGCCGTCCGATACACCAAGAGGGTGCGGATGGTGGAGGAGAAGGAGGAGGAGGAGAAGGAGGAGGAGGGCGATGAGTGGGAAGGAAGAGACAGTGGACAAGGAGGAGGAGGGGGAGGAGGAGGAGGAGAAGAAAAAGGAGGAGGAGAAGGAGCATCTTGGCTAGCCCAGGGGCTTCTTTGAACGTCTTGGGTGCCTTGGAGATGCTCTTGAGGCCTCTTTGGGGCCTCTTGGGAGCCTCTTGGAGACCTCTTGGGCGCCTCTTGGGGCTGTCTGGGCGCATTTTGGGGCCCTCTTAGGGCGCTCTTGGGAGCGTTAGGGGCACTCCTGGGGCCATCTTGGAGGACATCGATCAAAAAAGAGGGGTTCCTTAATTCCCCTCCCCGCTTGAGAGCCCTACAAGTCGCCTCTTGGGGTGCTCTTGGGGCCCTCTTGAAGCGCTCTTGGGCGCTCTTGGCTCCGTCTTGGGGCTCTGTTGGGTCTCTCCTGGGGCCCTCTTGGGCCATCCTGGAGCCATTTTGTTGCCTCGGATGGCCGCCGGTAGCGAAACGGCGAGACAGAAAAACATAGTGATTTCCTTAGTTTTGGGACGGATTTGGGCATCTTCGGGGCCTCCTTGGGGAGCTTTTTGGCCACTTGGAGCCGTCTTCGAGCGGTCTTGGGGCCTATTGGAGCACCTTGGGAGCCATCTGGGGGCATCTTGAGAAATCTTCAGCCATCTTGGAGAGCTCATCTTGGGCTCGCCGAGGCGCTCTTGGAGCCATCTTGGGCCATCTTGGACGCCCCAACCCCTCGGGGACCCCTGTCCAGGTCCAGGGGAGGGGGTAGGGAGAGGGGTCAAGACACCCTCTCAGCACGCAAGTTGTCCAGCTCACTCCCACCCGCCCTCCCACCACATACGTGTCATCCGAGTCCCCTCATAGCCAGGAGTGGCCGCTGGATGGACAGCCACTGGGAACCAAAGCGGACGGCAGGTGCGCGACGCTCGCCGCGGGCTCCACATGTGTTTGGTGTGCCATTCTTGTAAACATAAGCGAAAACGTGATGCCCCCCCGTCTGCATGGTCCAGATGCTGAAGTGGGGGGGGCGTCAGCATTGTTCTGGGCCTGCGCACAGCAAGCATCATCATGCGGGCAGCACCGCCGTCCCTGTCAACAAAAACAATACAAAGTGATCGCGGGTGGCCTGCACAATATCCACGACGGTGTCGCAACGTGCACATGGCATTGTTTTCGACACGGATGGTGGTCATGCACAAGGCAATTTCACTGAGGGTGCCCCGCCATCCCTGTCAAAAACCATACAACGTACTCACAGGGCGTCAATGTGCACTTCGTATTGTTCTTTGACAGGGGTTGTGGAGGGTGTTGGCAGGGTGGGCCCCGCAAGGTGCGTTTCGTATTGTTTCAACAGGGATGGTGTGGGGGCCCTCATGGCGTTCTCATGGTTCCGGCATTGGCTGCTGGCCGGGTGGGGGAGGGGGTGTTTATTAATAGGGAGCAGTGGTAAACCCTTCCCCGAAGGGGAAGAGAGGCAGATGGAAGACAAAACGCCCTAGACCACCTACTCCCTGAGGGCTGGTGGGATTCGTTGAAGGAGTCCCGCACCGCGCGATGGCGCCTCGTGTGTTGCACTGGGCGAGCGCGAGCAGTTGCGATGCAGCTTCATGGGCCGCTTGCACCTCGGGCAGATCGGCTTGTCCTGGTCCAATCGGTCCTTGTACTCGCAAGCGTGGCACCATTGGCAGCGGCTCCAGAGGCGAGTTCCCTGTCCCCTCCAGTGTCCGTTGCTCGCCGCGGGAGCATATTGGCGTCCCATGCGCCGCAGCTTTAGTGATCCGTAAATCTTGCGGCTGCGCAGGGGCACGGAAGTTACCCCCAGCACCTCGGGAAGCTATTGGGGCAGCCCTGATGGCGGTGTGGCCAGGGCCGAAAGGCCGAAACGGCTTGAGAGGAGGGGGAGGAGGAGAAGCAGGGGGAGGAGGAGGAGAAGGAGGATGAGGAGAAGGAGAGGAAGAGGATGAGGAGCAGTAGGAGTAGGAGGAGGAGGAGGAAGAGGAGGAGGAGGAGAGGAGGAGCAGGGGTCAAGAGCATCCGTCTTTCTGGATGGGGTGCCCTTCTGTTTTTCGATGTTGCGTTCCTCGCCTTGGCATGCTCTTCGTTGTTGGGGTATCTCGATGGGGCTCTGGGCCTTCGGCGACGGGACTCATGCTCTTGACCTTCTCCTCCTCCTCCTCCTCCTCCTCCTCCTCCTCCTCCTCCTCCTCCTCCCTCCCTCCTCCTCCTCCCTACTCCCTACTCCCTCCTCCCTCCTCCCTCCGTCCTCCTCCCTCCTCCCTTCCGCGTCCTCCCTCTCCTTCTGGCCATACTCCAAGTGCACGGTGCGGGAGCGCTTTCGGACGTCCACGGCTCTCTGCCGAAGGCAAGGCTGCAACATGTTTGCCCGCCCAGCACAAGGCAAACCGGCTAAGAGCCGTAATACACGCCAGCTGGCGACGGCGAGGAGGAGCAGCGATGCAGTAGCAGTAGCCAAGGGGCCAGCTTCAAGAGCAGGAGCGTGTAGCAGCACGAGCAGCAGAAGGATCAACAGTAATAGCAGCAGGAGGAGGAGCAGCAGGAAAAGCAGGAGCAGGAGCCGCAGGCAGCAGCAGAAAATGGATCAACACAACAGCAGGAGCAGCACCAGCAGGAGCGGCCGCGGCAGGAGCGGCTCCAGAGGAGGCGCCGCCGTGCCGACGGGGAGACTGAGAATTGAGAGGAAGGGGGAAGGGTGAGGAGGAAAACGGAGGAGGGGGATGACGGAAATGGTAAGTTTTGCTCTTGCACACGAGCTTGACGCCCCCAGGACGGGGGGAGGAGGAAAACGGAAGAGGGGCAAGACGGACCGAGTCGGTAAGTTTTGTTTCCGCCCCAGACCTTGATTCGTCCCTGGAGGTCCAGGGAGGCATCCAGAGAAGGCCAGGACCGGCCCCATGCCCAAAATCGTCCAGATGCCTCTCCACCATCGATTTCCGGGGGTCGAGGAACAAAAAAACTTGGCACACGGAGGAGGACCCAGAACTCCGATGTCGTGATGCTTTCGCACTGTGCTCCCTCCCCCCCTGGGCCCCCCCCGGGAGATGTGGGCGCCCTCCCCAGCACTGGACTTTCACGGGCGTGGTTTTTTCACAACAAGAGGTGGTGTGAAGTCGGGCATGTCCCTCTACAGGGAGAACCGTCAAAAATGGTTACAACATCGTCTGGGGACCAAGAACATGTTTGTTTTATCTTTCCTCCCGAATCCCCCTGTAGAAGAACATGCCCGACCTAAAGGTGGTGGGGGAGGAGGAGGATCTGCAGGCCAGGACCCTCCGGCATTGGCCTCTTGGGCCCCCTTTGAGGCCGCGCTGCCGAGGCCCGAGTTCTGAGTGAGGGTGTCCAATGCAATGCCTGATGGCCAGCGCTCCCCTGCTGCGTTTGCGCTGGGCTTGCCCACGTGCGGGCGCGCAGGCCAAGGGTGCTGAGCCACTGGCGGTCCGCCGCGGTGCAGCACCAAGGATGCTCAGTCGTTTCAAGTCCCCCGGGAGGGACCCGCGAGACCAGGAGAGGGTCAGGAGGGGAAGCGACACCCCCACGCACACGCACACACACACACACACCACAGTCGCTTCTTGAGAAACTACGGGAACACATGGGCAGCGGATGGGAAGACGACACATATGGCAACGTACAGGGAAGCCTGAGAGGCCCCTCCCCGGGGGCAGCCGCAAGCTTCCGATGGCCGCGCCCGGCCGCCTCCGCGGGCGGGCGCGCGCAAGGCGGCAGCGCTGCAGCTTAGAGGGAGACGAGAAGAGAGGGGAAGGAGGAGGAGGAGCAGGAGGAGGACGGGGGAAACGACCGCTGCGCACATCGCGCGGCGAGAGCGAGCGGGGCGAGGACGCTGCCGCTGGGGCGTGGATGGGCCCGTTCGAGTGGTGATCGTTTTCTTATTCATCGTTTTGCCGATCGTCTCGGGCCCTCGCACCCCCCCTCCCACCCCCCCAGCGGAGAAGATCTTGGCTGTTTCGAGCGCCTGTCTTTCAGCGGGGGGAGTCTCCCCCATGGGACGCCCTGCTGCAGACAGTCGCATGAAGCAGATGTCCGGAGCCAGACACACCCTCCTCCCCCCCCCTTCCGCCCAACGTCGAAACGCCGAATAAGAAAACGCCCATTCGTCGATTCTGAAGGAAATACAGGAAAACATTGGAAGTGGAGGGGAAAAAGAAAATACAGAACGGAGCAGTCAACCCACAGAGTAAGGATAGGCAACCTTCCCAAGGGTACCCTTGCATCCTTGCCTCCTCGGTCCATCCCTGGCCACCTGGCCACTTTCGTTGGCCGCGCCCTGCTCCAGAAGGCTTCGAAGTGGGCGTCCGAGGCCCTGGCATCAGTATCCTCGCGCACCCTTCTGATACGGGGCGGCTGCGCTAGGGAGGGGATCTTGGGATGGGTGCCCATTTCTTTGTGTCTCCCTGGGCCCCTTGAGCGCAGGGGGCGGGGGCACGGGGAGCGGAGGGGAGGCGTCGTCTCTCCTCTCGCCTCCTCCTGCTTCTCCTGCTCCTCCTGCTCCTCCTCCTCCTCCTCCTCCTCCTCCTCCTCCTCCTCCTCCTCCTCCTCCTCCTCCTCCTCCTCCTCCTCATGGGGCAGCCGCGGGCGCAGGGCTGCGTGCCGCCGCGAGCTCTTCCGGGCCGTGCCCGCGGCGGTGCCCTGGGGCGCGCCCGCGCCGGGGGCCTCGGGCGGCCCGGGAGGCGTGCCGCCGCTCCTCCGCTTGTAGCGGGCGACGACGACGACGACGACGAGGACGAGGACGAGGACGAGGGCGATGGCAACAACGACGAGGGGCGACTAGGGACGATGATGACGACGACGACGTCGACGACGACGACGAGGGATGACGACGACGACCACGTCCACGGCGACAGGCGACGACGACGACGACGACGAGGTCGACGACGACAACAAAGGTCGACTACGAATGCGAAGTCGAAGGCTACGACGGCCGCCGAGCATTTCCGAGAGCCGCCCAGGGCCTCCGAGGGCCTGCAAGAGCCCCTCCGCACACCTCCCCGAGTCCTTGAAGGCCTCGGCAGGTCGTCGAAGACCGCCGCCCGCGGCGGCGTCAGTCAGCACCTCTTCGTCGACGACCACGGCGGCCACGCTCGCGGCGGGCAAGTCACTGCATCATACGCGTATACAAAAGAACAAGTTGCCGGCCATCCGCAGCGCCCGCCCCAGGGCGTCTGGAAAGCTCGTGCCCCCGCCTGGCACCGCAGGGGCATCGGCTGTCCAGCCGCCCCGGGACAGGCGCTGCCGATCGTGGCGCAAGTGATGCTACACCACTCTTCGCCCGCTAACTTCACCCATTCGCCAAAAAAGCAGGTGGATCCTGAGGACAGGCCCCAGAAGGTCTCCTCCTCCCCTATCGCCCTCCTCCTCCTCCTCCACCCCATCGCCCTACTCCTTCTCCTCCTCCTCTTCCTCCTCCTCTTGCTCCTCCTCTTGCTCCTCCTCTTGCTCCTCCTCCTCCTCCTCCTCATCATCATCATCATCATCCCCATCGCCTTGCTCCTCCTCCTCCTCCTTCTCATTCTCCTTCTCCTCCTCCTCCTCCTCCTCCTCCTCCTCCTCCTCCTCCTCCTCCTCCTCCTCCTCCCTTCTCCTCCTCCTCCTCCTCCCTCCTCCTCCTCCTCCTCCTCCTCCTCCTCCTCCTCCTCCTCCTCCTCCTCCTCCTCCTCCTCCTCCTCCTCCTCCTCCTCCTTCTCCTCCTCCTCTGGGCCGTGCATGAGCGACTCGGGACAAAGCGCTCCACCTGGAGGGGAAGCCCCAGGGGTCTGGCGCCCATTTCCCTCGGGACCCGTCTTCTTCGTGCCAAATCCCTCCACCCCTCCTCTCGAAGAACAACAACAAACAGCCTTAAAATAAGCGTTAGGCGCTCTTCGCGGACTTCTCGGATCCGTGCTTGGCCCCCCCGCGGCGCCTCTGGCGGCGCCTCCGGCGCGCTCCGCGCGCTAGGGAGGGGGGTCCAGCGCAGATCCCAGAAATCCGCGCGGAGTCTTGGAGCGCCAAAAGTTTATGTTCATGTTGTTTTTTCTTCTCCGATCCTCCCCTGCAGGATCGATTCGAAAGATTATCGCATCATCGCCAGACGGTTTTCCTCGGTTCGAGCCTCTGCGGGATACATATATATATATATATACGTATGTATGGATTAAGCACGATGGGCTCTGGGAGGGACCTGGAGGCAGATTTTGTGCGGACTTGGTCGGGTGGAGGATCCCTCTTGAGGGCTCCAAGTTTGGGGGTCGGTGTTCGAGGTTTCGGATTGTTGATCGCCTTCTCCAGGCTTCTCCAGGAAGCTTCTGGTCGCCTCGGGAGGACCCGCCCGGAGTTTCTGGCCAGTGTGCACCCGTGGAGAGGCCCGAGGGCACATTTAGGGGGTGGGATGGACGATGATGTTGTGGCCCTCCCTCCCCAATATCCTGCCCCTTGTCCCTCTGCTTATCCTTTCTGCTGTGCACCCTATGCAGCCCCCTGCGCCTCCATTCCCCCCATCCCCTTTTCTCCCCTGGCACTCCCCCCCCACTTCCTCACCCTCTGATCCCTCGCTCCTGCCTGATCTTTCCTCATCCTCTGATCCCTCCGCCACACGCTCCGTCCCTGGTCACCTTAACTCCTTGTCCCCTCCCCCCCACTCGACCAGTGGCTATTGCTTGGAACATCTTCTAGGGACGCACCCAGACCATCCGCGAGAAGTATCTCCGCGTGCTCACTCAGAGCGATTGGATACACGAATGGGTATTGAACCATCCGCGAAAGTTAGAGAGCGCAGGTGTGTGCGTCCAGTGCTCGAGGGGGCGAGGATCCGAGAGATCAAAGGAGGAAGGGATCGAGCGCCCGGGGGGGTACGAGGTCTCCCCAAGTCGGGGGTTCCAGAGAGCAAGGGCTCGAATGATATAGTATACATATGTATATATATATATATATATACATATATACATGTACAAGACTGCAGTTGCGCTTCGCGCCATGCACCTTGGTCCTTGAAGTTTGGCATGCAGGCGGAATAGCAGAAAGGTCAAGCCGACAATTTAGCGATAACTCCTTGTTGCCTTTTTCCGGCATCGCCGCTATAATAATGTTATTCGTTATCCTTCCTCCATGCTTATGTTTCCTCATTTTCGCCATACCCTGCGCATTCTCCTCATCCTCCTCAGCTCTTTTTTGCAGAGGCTCCTCCTTGGAGAGACTCTGGGGGCCTCGCAAAAGTTGTTTGAGGCTTTCTTGAAGCGTCTGGGGGCCTCCTGGGCGTATTCTGGGGGCCCGTGGGGGCTTCCTCGGGCCACCCTGCCTCCAACCGCGGTCTCCCTGAACGACCGGGTCACGATTTGGAATGCTTCGGAGGGTGTTTTGGGGCCATCTTGGGCCGCCATGGGACTCTCTGAGGGCCATCTTGGTCCCATGTTGTGCCGTTTTGGGGTTCTCTTGGACTGCCTGGAAGCCCTTTCGGATGGTTGTGGGGCGTTTTGGGAGCCTCCCAGGCGGCTTCGGACGCCCAGAAGACCGCCGTCTTGGAGCGTCGGGAAGACGAAAAGAGGAGAACCCCACAATTCGCAAACAACCGCCAGAAAATCAATGATGTTTGCCTCTTGGGGCCTTCTTGGTAGTGCTCTTGGAGGCCTCTTTGGGGCCGTCCTGGAGGCCTCTTGGGCCATCTTGAGGTCACGTCGGTCACTCTTGGAGCGCTCTTGTGCTGTCTTGGGGGTCTCTGGGACGTCTTTGATAACCCCCGTACGCCCTGCGAGGCCCGGGGGGCCGTTTCGAGGCTCGTCCAGAGGGTCCCAAATCCCCAGGTCCCCGGAGTCCGGTTTTTTTGGGGGGGGTCCCCCCGCCCGGGCTTATAAAAATAGAGGAAGAGGAATATCTATATATATATAGAGAGAGAGAGAGAGTCTATGGAGACAAGTCCGGCCGCAGACGGCGGCATGGGAAGGCGACCGAACAAAGCAAGACTTTCGTCTGGCATTTGGCAAAGCTTGCAGTCAACCCGTCGCAGCAAGTGGGATCCTACAGAGACAGCCTGGGCTCGAGGGCACGGGGGATCGACAGCGGATCGACGGCTCGAGGCAACAAGGGGCCCACGGATCGAGGTAAACATCGGCATTGAGCGCTCGAACGATCGAGAGGTCGAGAGTTCGAGAGATCGACTGGGTCGACGGCCCCGGCGATCAAGGGGTCGAGCGATCGAGACCTCGAAGAGTTCCAAGGATCAGGGGCACCCAGGCAGGGCGAGGTTTTGTTCCCAGACATGATCGCGTCGTGACAAAAACAGGACGGGAGGTTTTTGGCCATTTTCGGCATCGGGGGGCCCTTGCCGGGCCTCGGGACCGTCAACAAACGACTCAGGATGAAGAACCGGTCCCAGGGAAAGGGTCGGGACTTCCAGGGACGCAGTATGGAAATCCTCAGGACGTCGCATGTCTGGGTTGGGACTGGCGTAGGACACCATCACGCGGGACCTCACAGAGACCCTCCAGCGTGGCGACGGTGGTGCCGTTGGCCGCACCCGGAGAAGTCAAGGCCGCACGTGGGGCGTTCCAGAAGAAGAGGACCTCGCCTTCGAGGGTCGAAAGAGCTGTCAGCTCTTCCGCGGCGGAGGGCCGCGGAAGGGCGGCGGCAGGCTGGCGGAAGCAAAACAAGGCCACGTCCGCCCGCGGAAGGAAGCCGGCGGAAGCTCGGCGGAAGGCGGCGGAAGTAGAAAACGCGCACCCAAGTGATGATTCCGTTTTTGGAATCAGGGTTTTCGGGATCGGACATTTGAGTGAGGGAAGGGCTCCGTTCCGTTGGATCCCCCAGGGGCCCACGAGAGTTGTGACCGTGGCCCAGTTTTCAACACCCAGGGAGGACAAGGTTCCACTTCTGCTTGCGAAGGACACCGCTCCGCCGGACCTCCCAGGGACCACGAGCGTGGTGCCGGTGGCGCTGTGACAGCCCCAGAGCAGGTCGAGGTCCCATGTCGGTCTGCGTAGGGCACCCCTCCGCCACACGTTGGCGAATACGACGACGGATCGACGACGAATGCCGACTACGACGTATACGACGACGTCGACGAATATTCCGACGAATGCGGCGATCACGACGACGATAAAAAATACAATCACGATGACGACGGCGATGTCGTCGTCCACGACGACCACCCTGGTCTTTCGCCACCGGCGCCACGCTTGGAATATCCGCCTCGTCTGGATGCCCCGCGCAGCCCGACGACGACCGACGACGACGATGTCGACGCCGACGCCGACGACGACGACGACGACGACAGTCGCAATCGTCGCTCGTTGGAAGACGACGGCCACGACGATGACCACGACGACGACGACGACGACGACGACGACGAGGGACGACGACGAGGGACGACGGCGACGGCGACGACGACGACGCCCGTTGACCGACGCTGCGCCGACCGACGCTGCGCCGACCGACGGTAATTACGCTCGGAGGCGCCGCCGCTCCCTTCGGGGACGCCGCGCCGCCTGGCGGCAAACCCACGGAGGCCGCCGCAGGCGCCTTCCAGTTCGGCGCGCCCAGCGAGCGGGGCTCGGCTCGTTGTCGTCGTCGCCGTCGTCGTCGTCGTCGTCGTCGCCGTGGTCGTTCTCGTCCACGTCCTCGTCGTTGTCGTCGCCGTCGCCGTCGCCCCTCGTCGTCGTCCCTCGTCGTCGTCGTCGTCGTCGCCATCGTCGTCTTCGTCGTCCTCGTTTTCGTCCTCGTCGTCTTCGTCGTCGCCGCAGCCGCCGCCACCGCCGTCGTCGTTGTCGTCGTCGTCGCCGCCGCCGCCGTCGTCGTCGTCGCCGCCGTCGTCGTCGTCGTCGACGTCGTCGTCGCCGCCGCCGCAGCCGTCGTCGTTGTCGTTGTCGTGGTCGCCGCCGTCTGCGTCGCCGCCATCTATACGGTGTCAGAAGTGTCCCGGCCTCGGGGTGTTTTCCAGCAGCTGCGCCTCGTCGAAGGTTTTTCAGGCGTGCCTGGATCTTCCCGAACGGTAGCCGGATAATCGAGCTATGACCCGAAAATCAATTTTGGCGGCGCGCAGAGGAGGCAAGGGAAAGGGGGCGGGCTTTCTCAGAAAGCTCAGCAGTTCTCTGGCCTTCTGTGGAGCTGTTTGACCCTTCTCCGCAGACGCAGTGGGGACTTCTCGGAAGGCCGGGGGGGCGTCTCAGAAGGCCCCAGGCCTTCCCCCCTCTCACTTCCCCGGCGCGCCGCCGTGTCGTCGTGGCAGTATCCCAGGTTGCGAACGCCCCGCAGCTGAGCTGAGCTTCCCATTTGCAGCCGAGGGCAGCGAGATCCTTATTGTCGTCCCCGTCACGGGCCTCGCCACCTTCTGCTCTCTCTGCTCCTCCTCCTCCTCCTGCACTCCTCCTCCTCCTCCTCCTCCTCCTCCTCCTCCTCCCCCTCCTCCTCCTCCCCCTCCTCCTCCTCCTCCTCCTCCTCCTCCTCCTCCTCCTTGACCCCTCCTTGACCTGCTCGTCGACCTCCTCCTCCTTCCTGGGACTCCTCCATCCTCTCCTCCTCCTCCTCCTCCTCCTCCTCCTCCCTCCTCCTCCTCCTCCTCCTCCTCCTCCTCCTCCTCCTCCTCCTCCTCCTCCTCCTCCTCCTCCTCCTCCTCCTCCTCCTCCTCCTCCCTCCTCCTCCTCCTCCTCCTCCTCCTCCTCCTCCTCCTCCTCCTCCTCCTCCTCCTCCTCCTCCTGCTCCTCCTCCCTCCCTCCTCCTCCCCTCCTCCTCCTCCTCCTCCTCCTCCTCCTCCTCCTCCTCCTCCTCCTCCTCTATCTCCACTCGTCCTCCTGCTCCTCCTTCCCCCTCCTCCTCCTCCCCCTCCTCCTCCTCCCTCCCTCCCTCCCTCCCTCCCTCCTTCCCTCCCTCCCTCCTCCCTCCCTCCCCCCCCCTCCCTCCCTCCCTACCTCCTCCTCCTCCCCCTCCTCCTCCTCCTCCTCCTCCTCCTCCTCCTCCTCCTCCTCCTCCTCCCCTTGCCAGAGCAGCGGAAGCCCCTATCTGAGGGCCACACGGATTGCAGTCCTCGCCGGCACTTCAGGGGAAGAGCCGCGCTACACTCCTCCGCAGGGCTCGCTGGCCGTCGTGCGCCGCTGGCTGCCTGCCGCCCTCCCCTTGCTCCTCCTCCTGCGTGGAGGCCTCCAGGGCTTTCCCCCTCTGGTAGAGGGGGAGGAGGAGGAGGAGGAGGAGGAGGAGGAGGAGGAGGAGGAGGAGGAGGAGGAGGAGGAGGAGGAGGAGGAGGAGGAGGAGGAGGAGGAGGAGGAGGAGGAGGAGGAGGAGGAGGAGGAGGAGAGAGGCGGGGAGGAGGAGGGGGAGGAGGAGGAGGAGGAGGAAGAGGGAGGAGGAGGACGGGGGGGGGCGGCGCGAGAGAGCGCGAGAAGGGGCCGAGCGCGACCTTGGGAAACGCGGTTTGGGGAGAGTGGAGGAGAGTGGTTGGCGAACCGGGGCAGGGATGGGGAAGGGAGAGGAAGGTGCGGGGAGGGCGGAGGGAATGGGGGGGGGTGAGAGAGGGAGGGAGGGAAGATGAGGTGATGTCGATTGGCCCAGTGCTGTGGATGCCGAGGGAGCACATCAAAGTCGCAGATGGGTTCGCAGATCTCACCATTTACAATGGGACGTCTTGGGTTAAACCCTTCCGGGTAACATTCGGCCCGACGCATGCGAGCATTGTCATGCCAACCGACGGGGGGGAGCGTGGTAGCACGTATGCCGCAGCTCCTGTCGTATTTCAACCAATCACCGTATCTGTGGCGTCCTGGTATACGAGCCTGTGTATGCGCAAGGTAGTTGTCCGTTGGTGAGCATTGTTGAGTTTGTGTCCGAAGCGATGGCGGTAGAGAGTCGGGCGAGGAGGGTGACTGAAGCGTTAGGTGCGGCTGTCGGGTGTCTGACCTAGTCCGTGAGACACGAAGAAAGAGAAGGTTGAGCCAGAGGTGGAGGTAGAGTCAGGAGGGGGAAAGAGGCGTAGAACGTGAACGATGAAGCGGAGCAGAAGTGGGAAGATGAGACGGATCAATAAGGATTAATATGAAGAGGAGCAAAACCAGAGGAAGAACAGGAAGATGAGGAGAGAGAGAGAGAGAGAGAGTGATGGAAATTAACACAAGCAGGAGCCACATCAATAACAGGATCCGGAGGAGCAGCACAAGCATCAGCAGGAGCAGCAGAAGGACGAGTAAACATAGTGAGCAGCAGCGCGGGAGAAGAAGGGTGTGGAAGAGCTGGGTCTCAACCACTCTTGCTCTGGGCGCCTAAGGCCGCGGCTGCCAGTGGTGCGTCTTCGTCGGCAGCGGCTTCCATCTTCGGCGCCACCGCCGGCGCCACCAGCGGCGCGTCACTGGCTTAGCATGCGGGTTTTACGAGCCTCGCCGCCCTGCGCTTCCTCTGCCCTCCTCCTAGGAATGTCGCATTCTTTCCATTTTGACCCCTGGCTTTCAAAAACCTCCTATGCCCAGCAGTGGGCATTCTTGATCAGGGTTGCGCTTGCATCTCCCCAGGCCCAGCAGCTTGGCATAGCGACCAGGCTGCTACTCGACAATAGTTCTGGAGTGGTCAGGCTCCAGAAAAACAAGCATTCTCGTTCAGTATTGTCTAGTATTTCATCAGAGCCGCCCTGCCCTTCCTCTTCCCCTCCCCTCGCCCGTTCCCCCCCCCCCCCTTTGCTGACGGACACTCGCTGCAAACATGTAGTCGTCAGCACTTTCACGATCGCAGCGTCGACGGAGCGGCCGACTGCTGCTAGCTGCTCCGGGTAAGACCGCTACGTTGAAGCCGAGAGCCGTCATGCCCACGGAAGGCAGCGCGCGCAACAGGCAAGGGGTATTGGAGGGGGGTGCGGACAGAATGCATGTTTAAGTCGGGCCTGTCCCTCTTCAGGGGGGGAAATGCAAAAATAGTCAAAAAATGGTCTGGGGACTATTTGTTTAGAATTTTTGGTCATGTTTTGAGCGTTTTTGGGGTATTTTTAATTTTTCGTCCAAGATCCCCCTGTATGTCTGTTGGGTTGGTGGGTTGGAGGTGCACTGGGATGTGCTGGACAGGGATCGGCGGCGCGCCCAAGGGGCGAAAAGAGAAGGCGGCGGGCCTTCTCCGGAGCCCTCGCGCCCTCTGAGAAGTGGTGTTCTGCGTCTCCGGGGGAGGTCCCGAGAACTTCTCTCCGAGGGTCCGAGGTTCCTCCGAGCCCTCTCCGAGAAGGCCAAGCAATGCGACGAACAGTACCTGTTGGAGTAAAAGCGGGCGTGTCCCTCCACAGGAGGAGTTTCCAAAAATAGTAAAAAATAGTCCGGGGACGATGTTTTGAACATTTCAGTTTTTTTTACACTTTTCTTTTTTTCGTCCAAAATCCGCCTGTGGGAGCACACACATGCTGGACCTGATGTTGGAGAAGGCCTGCTCCTTCTCACTTCCCCCCCGCCCGGGCTCGCCGCCGCAGGGGGGAGCTCCCCAGGGGAGGGCCTGGGGGCGAGGCCAGGGCGCAGTCTGCGGCGGGGGCTCGTCGCACGCGCGCGCCTCTCTGCTGCCCCTGCCCGCGCAGACACCCGCCCCCTGCCTGCCAGTCAAAACTGGCCCCCTCGCCGAGCGAAGACGGGCCGCCTCGGCCAGGGCCCTCTGCCGGCAGGCCGTGCCTCTCCCAGGGGCGGGGAGGGGACTCTCCTCCTCCTCCTCCTCCTCCTCCTCCTCCTCCTCCTCCTGCTCCTCCTCCTCCACCTCCTTACCCTGAGCACTGCTGTTCGTTTTCTTGTTGGTTTCGCTTTCTCTCGTTCTGTCTTCATTCCGCCATTGCTGCAGAACGAAGTACAGCGGCCCACGAAATCGCCAACACGCCTTTTAATCGACCCCTTGGGGTGAGGAGGTGGGCGTTAACGAGAAGTGTCAAGGGGGGACAGCGGCATGGGGGCAGGACCAGTTTCGGGAGGGGCCAGCCAGGGGATGACCAGACCGTTCCCTGCAGGTCGTCTGGCGCCTCGTCCATCTTCGGCGCGCAGCCTGGCTCCGGCGGGGCTTCTTCCTCAGGGTCGACGAGCATCTTCGGCACCTCCTCGGGCGCCGCCGGTGGCTCCTCAGGCAGCGACGGGGTGCCCAACAAGTCAGATCTGACGCGCCCGATCTGATGGGCCTGTTTTCCACCACCACCACCACCATAAGTTTGAGGGGGGAAGGAGGTGGAGGATGAGGAGGAAGAAGAAGAGGAGGAGGAGGAGGATGAGGACCCCCTTCCCATCCTACTTATGGTGGTGGCGGTGGAAAACAAGCCCACCAAGATCAGGGTGACATCGGATGCCACCGGCGCCACGTCGTCGAGCTCGTTGAAGTGCTCAGGGGTCGAGGGCGGAAGGAGCATGACGGTCAACGTGTGCTCAAATTTGGCCCCATCTGGAGATCCTCCAGAGCACCCCCTGGACGGAAAACCAGACAGGAGACAGAAAGTAAATTAGAGCTTTAGTTCCAAGGAACCACGCAAGGAACCACGCCAAGGTCCTCGGGGGTCGAGGCCGGGAAGGGAGGGCAGGGGCGGGGAGCGGCCAGGCAAGGGGGTTAAGGCGACAGCTCCTCGGATGTCCTCGCGGGGCAGAAATGCAGTGGGGGCCCATGCCACGAAACACCCTGCTCGCCTCCAGGGTGCCCTGGGTTTCCTGGGTTTCGATGGCTTTGCGGTGGAGAGCGTGAAGCCCCCGCGCCAAAAATCAGTGGACGCCCTGGGGACGGTCTCAGGGCTGGGTTTCTTGTGGAAGGTTTCTTTGGTCGAGCCCCTGCTGTAATGTGATCTCAGGAAATATGAATACAGTGCGGGCGCGGTCGCAAGAAACCCAACCCTCCAAACCCGCACACGAGGTACACCCGAGGGGAATCTCGGGGCACCCTGAGCGCAGCAGCTTCTCAACGTCCGCGGAAGTTACCGCGCAGCGCGCGAATCGAAGAAGCCCAGGGCACCCTGGCGAAAAGCTCTTGGTTTCTTGATGCGCGCCTTCACTGTGCCGCTGAGGCCAGAGAAGCGTATATGGGGCCCTCACCTGTTGACTCCAGCGAATTGACTTGCATGGACGGGGAGGGAGGGACCTGAACCTGAAGCACGCCGCAAGCGACTTGCACGTGCGGACATCGCGCAAATCGAAAGGCACTCGCACGCCAGTACTCGCTTGAAGAAGGGCGAGGGGGGGGGAGGGGCGAACGCCGTGCAAGTAGACTTGGCCGAGTCTAAAGAAAACCGGGCTCGTGCAGCGAGTCGCCCACCGCAGTTCGGGCCCGCCGCGCGCGGCCTGCTGCTCAGAGGGCCTTGCGCAGCGCCCTGTGTCCGCCGTGGGCCGCTGCAGCGCAGGAGGGCGGGGTTTGGCGGCCCGATGGCACGGGCGCCTCGCGGCGGCGGACAGGCGACTCGAAGAACAGAAGACACCATACAAGAAGTCCGCGCGGAGCGCCCGAAATTAATGTTCATGGCGTTCTTTTCTGTTCTAGACTCGGCACTTTTTTGTCGATGCCTATCCCTATCTCCATCCCCATCCAGATTCCCACCAGCTCGCCACCACAGTTGGGGATGTGCCCCTCCTGGGATGGGCGCGGGGGTTGCGAAGGGGATATGGGGGTGAGCAGTGGACGCCAAAGGGGTTATATCCGGCCTAACCTAGCTCTTCAGTGGGTTGCTAATGCTCCAAGTGGCTTGGGGGGATAGCGATTCGGGCTAAGTGGGCTCGCCCCCCTTAGCGGAGTTGTCTAATTCCCCTAATCTTTGGGCATGTGTAATCGATTTGTATGCTAGGTTTGGCCAGGGATGACCCCTTTGGCGTCAACTACTCACCCCCTAGGCCCTTCGCAACCGCGCGCCTATTCCAGTCAGAACTTGAAGGGTGCAGCCTATATCCCCATCTAGGGAGGTAGGCCAACCAGTGGGGCCCAGACCACGTCTTCGTGGATAGGGGTCGTTTGAAGTCGGGCACGCGCAGAGGGGGGTATGGGGGAGGGGCGGGAGACTTCCGAGAAGGAGGTTGCTTCTTGAAGGCGCGGGCCTTATCTGTAGATGTAAGGCATGGCGCCTGACAAGAAACAGCCTCCTTCTGAGAAGCCTCCTCCTCGTCCTCCTCTTCCATTTCTTCCTCCTCCTCCTCCTCGTCTTCCTCCTCCTTCTCCTCCTCCTCCTCCTCCTTCTCTTCCTCCTCCTTCTTCTTCTTCTCATCCTTCTCCTCCTCCTCTTTCTCCTCCTCCTCCTCCTCCTCCTCCTCCTCCTCCTCCTCCTTCTGCTCCTCCTCCCCCATGACCCCCCTCTGTGCGCCGCCAATCTCAGCAACGGGAATGTTGCCGTGTGGCGTCTGCAGCTGGGCCCTGGAGGTCTGGAGACTTCCCCAGGGAGGAGGAGGTGGAGGAGGAGGAGGAGGAGGAGGAGGAGGAGGAGGAAGAGGGGAAGAGGAGGAGGAGCGGGAGGAAGGAGGAGGAGAGCAGGAGGAGGATGAGGATGAGAGAAGGAGGGGGAGGAGGAGGAGGAGGAGAGAGGAGGAGAGGAGATAAGAGGAGGATGAGGAGGAGGAGGCGGAGGATGAGGAGGAGCGGGGAGGAGAGAGGAGGGGGAGGAGGGGAGGAGGAGAGCAGGAGGAGGATGAGGATGGGGGAGGAGAAGAGAGGAGGGGAGGAGAGGAGAGGAGGAGAGGAGGATGAGAGGAGGAGGAGGAGGAGGAGGGAGGAGGAGAGGAGGATGAGGAGTAGGAGAAGAGGAGGAGGAGGAGGAGGAGGAGAGGAGGAGGAGGAGGAGGAGGGGAGAGGAGGAGAGAGGAGGGGGAGGAGGAGGGGAGAGATGAGGAGGAGGGAGGAGTGAGGAGGATGGAGGCGAGAGGTAGGAGGAGGAGGAGTGAGCTGGAATGGCGTCGTACGGTGGGCGGGGATGGATAGGAATTCTTCTGCTTCTTCTTCGTTCTTCGTCATCGTTGACGGTCGTCCAAGGCCCGTTCGGGGGCCCGACCGTGGAGGTGGAAACAGCCCAGAGCCGCCCGCTCCAAATTGTTGAGAGTGTCGGACCTCTGGGGAGGGTGGCGGACAGGCAGCGAGGCAGGCAGGCGGCAGGGCCTGACATGGCCCGGCTCGCAGGGCAGCCTCTTGCGTCGGGGGCGGCCAAGAGGGGGGGGATGACGGGGGGGCATATCGTCGCGGGGGCCATGCTATCTCCCCAGATTTCATGTCGCCTATTCTTATCTCTGCGTCCCCGGCCCCCCCTGGGCCGCGCACATGCCACCGGCCATGAGTTGCGCCCCCCCTCTTGGACGCCTACCTCTTGGCCGCCCCCGCTTTGCCGCCAGGGCACAGCAGACGGAGAGAGGCGCCTGCCCGCGGCCCGCCGCGCCGCCAGGCGGCTCCCTCTTCGGCGCAGCCAGCGCGGCAACGGGCGCGGGAGGCGCCCACCAGCCCACCGTTGGCCTCCTCCTCCTTTTCCTCCTTCTCCTTCTCCTCCTCCTCGATCGCCCTCCGCCTCCTCCTCCTCCTCCTCATCCTCATCCTCCTCCTCCTCGAAACGCCCCCCCCCCTCCGCCTCCTCCTCCTACCTCCACCTCCTCCTCCTCCTTCCACTTCCTCCTCCTTCCTCCTCCCTCCTCCTCACTCCTCTCCTCCTCACTCCTCCTTTCCTTCTCCTTCCTACTCACCCTCCTCCTCTTCCTCCTCCTCCTCCACCTCTTCGCCTCCTCTCCTCCTCCTCCTCCTCAGTGCTCCTCGATCGCCTCCTCCTCCTACTCCTCGCTCCTCCGCCTCTCCAACCTCTCCTCGATCGCCCTTACTCCTCACGCGTCATCCTCCTCGCTCCTCCGCCCTCGCCCCACTTCCTCCTCCCCCCTCCTTCTCCTCCTCCTACTCCTTCTCTTCCTCCTCCTCCCCCTCCTCCCCTCCTCCTCTCCTCCTCATCATCATCATCATCATCATCATCATCATCATCATCCTTCTACTCCTCCCCCCTCCTGCTTCTCCTCGTCGACCTCCTCCTCCCCCTCTCTCCTGGTCCTCGATCGCCCTCCGCCTCCTCCGCGCCCTCCTCCTCTCTCCTCTTCCTCCTCTCGTCCTCCTCCTCCTCCACCTCCTCCTCTTCCTCCTCCTCCTCCTCCGCATCCTCCTCCTCGCTTCTCCGCCGTCCTCCCTCTTCCTCCTCCTCCTGTTCTTCCTCCCCATTGTCCTCCTCCTCCACTTCATCCGCCTCGTCCTCCTCCACGACCTCCTCCTCCTCCTCCTCCTCCTCGACCTCCTCCTGCTCCTCCTCCTCCTCCTCCTCCTCCTCCGCATCATCATCATCATCATCATCATCATCATCATCATCATCATCATCATCATCATCATCATCATCACCATCACCATCATCATCATCATCATCACCATCATCATTATCGTCCTCATCCTCATCTTCATCCTCTTCCTCATCCTCATCCTCATCCCTCTCCTCCCCCTCCTGCTCCTCCTTCTCCTCCTCCTCTTCCTCCTCCTGGCCCGCGGCTGGTGGACGTCCCGCTGGCCAGCAGGGAACCTTCGCTGGCATCGCCGAACCCTGATCCCCTCGCGTTGCGAAAAATCACGACGGGAGGTTTTTCGCGAGTTTCGGCCGCCCCGGGGGGGGCCGGGGCCTCGGGGTCGTCAGAAAACGACTCGGGATGAAAAATTAGTCCCGGGGAAGGGGTTTGGGAACCCAGAGATTCGACGCTCCAGCAAACAAGCAGAACAATGACGCGGGCGGTTTTCGCTTATCTTCGGCCTCCGGGGGGCCCTCACTGGGCCTCGGGACCGTCTAACAATGACTCAGGACGAAAAGCACGCCCTAGGGGAGTGGTCCAGAATTTGGGGCCCACGCATCAAAAAATTGGAGCAGCCGGATGTCTGGGAACCTATCCCCATCTCCAGTGGGCCATAGCATTACAGATATACACCAGCCCGCCCTTCTGAGGTGGGGATAGGCCCCGCGAGACCAGAAGGAACAGGCACGTATCCCCACATAGGTGGGCAGGTCGGCCAGTGGGACCAGGGCCGCGCCAGTGTGGGCAGGGAGCCGTTCAACGAGTCATCGCGTCCCCTCTCGGATGTTGCCACGGGGCGTCCATGGCCCAAGGTCCCCCCAGGATTAAGTCTGGCATGTCCCTCTACAGGGAGAATATTCCAGTCAAAAAATAGCAAGGGAACGATTTGTTTGAATATGTTTGAACATTTGTTGGCTATTTTCATTCTTTCCCAAAATCCGCCTGAAGAGGGGCATGCCCGACCTAACCCCAGGACCTCTGGGGAGTCCCCCGTGTTCGGGGAGGCCCTCGCAGATTCCAGAGCGCCCATCACAAGGCTGGTGCGGAGCCCCGGGGACACTTTGAGCCAGGGGCACTTGAAGTACCCCGTCGCCCTCGGCTGCCGCACATGGGCCGTCATTCGCCCCCAGTTGCTTTGCAATGCGACCGAAGTTTGGTTAGAGGTCTGGAGTCCCGTGCGCTCTTTTGTGAGACCGTGGCTGCAGCTGCCCAGGGGCACAACACCAAACAACTGCTGAAAACCGCAAACGCGCAAGCCTCGACAAGCGAGAGGGAGGAGGATACATGCCTGCATGCCAGATCGAGGGAACTGGTGAGAGACATGTACATCGGGGGACGGAGAGATGAGACATGTAATGTAAAGAGGAGAATGCAGAGATAAACATATAGATATATGTAGCACCCCGCAGATGCGGATCAGAGTGAGGGGGCGGTGGGGACGTTGGCAGTTTGCGAGACTCTGGAGAAGCCCGCCGTAGGCGCCCAAGTTTCGCAAATTATGCAACGAGCCCGCCGCAGTCGCCGATTTTTTGGGTGAGTCGCTGGTGACTCGCGGGTGTAGAGGGTAGAAAATCCACCCCATAATAATCACCCCGACCAGCGAAGCCGTTTAGTAAACGCACACAAGGAATGAATCGAACAGGGCAGGGCTGTTCAGTAAACGCACAGGGCCGTTTAGTAAACGTCAACTGTTAGTTCCGGATGGTTTCCTCCCTTGAGGGTGGGTCGCGGAGTGGGTTGCGGGTGGGTCGCGGGGTGGGTCGCGGGTGGGTCGCGGATGGGTCGCGGATGGGTCGCGGGGTGGGTCGCGGGTGGGTCGCGGGTGGGTGGGTCGCGGGGTGGGTCGCGGGTGGGTCGCGGGTGAGACGACGCTAACAAACGACAGCAACATCAGCAACAACAGCAACAACGCAACAAGCACAATTCTCACCACGAATTCCTTATTCAGCCACGCACCCAGGGACAATGAATGACCGTTCGGCAACCACATACAAATACATACATACACACACGTATATATATATATACTACATTAGGCACATGTACATATAGGGTCACAGGATCGGGAGCCTTCTCCCAGCTGCCCCTGTGCAGACGTCCCAAGAGGACCCCAAGACACTGCAACAGGGCCCCCAGGCCGCCCAAGGACAGCCCCACGCGGCCCCCAAGATTGCCCAGAGGGACAAAGATGGCCTCAGAGGGTCCCAAGATGGCCCAAGAGGCCCCCTAAGACGGCCTGAACATGGCTTCAGGAGACCCCGAAAAGGGTCCATTCGAGACCCTCTGCGGGATCTCTTCGGCGATGGTCAGAATCTAGATGTTTCTTCCCATCGGTACATCTATATGTGTACATCTGTATGCATATGTATCAGAGTGAGGGGGTGCCCGAACAGGCGTCTGTTTTCCTTGCGCGCGCGTTGCTGGATGGCGGGGTCCGACTCTGGGGGCGATATTCGGGGGCAATGCATGGGGGCGATTATTGGGGGCACCTCATGGGGGCGATACTCAGGGGCAGCACATGTGGGCGATCCTTGGTGGCAATGAATGCATGGGGGCGACACCTGGGGACAATTCATTGGGACGACCGTTGGGGGCAACACCTCGGGGCATTACGTGGGGGCGATGCACGTGGGCAACATCTGGGGGCGATACTTTGCGGCAGCCGGTGGGGGCAGTACATGGGGGCAGTACATGGGAGCAACACTTGGGGGCAATGCGTGGGGGCTCCTTTTTCGTCCCCGTCGCCGCCCCCGCACTATGATCCGCAAGTGCGGGGTAAAAGGAATAGAGAGAGAGAGAGAGACAGAGGGAGCCAGAGTGGGAGCCAGAGAGAGAGAGAGAGATAGAGAGAAACAGAGAGAGAGAGGGAGCCAGAGAGCCAGAGATGTAATAACAAGGAGAGAGGTGACCTGGGGCGACTTCTTCGCCAGGAGGGACGACGGGCACCAGGCAGCCCAGCAGGCAGTTCAGCTTGCAGGGGCAGGGCGAAGGGCAGGGCTGGCAGAGCAGGGAAGGGCGAAGGGCAGGGCGAAGGGCAGGCAGCAGGGCAGGGCGGGGCAGGGACAGGGCAGAGCAGAGCCAGGCAGTGCAGGGAGAAGGGCAAGGCGAGGCCGCCCCCTCTATCGCCATCATTATCGTCATCACTATCGTCATGATTGCCCGTCATCGTTCTCGTCATCACTATCGCCATCTTTATCGCCATCATTGTCGTCATCACTCTCGTCATCCTTCTCGTCATGACTGCTCGCCGCCCCGCCAGGCGGATCCATCTTCGGCGCGGCCGCAGGCGCGGGAGGCGCGGGCCGGCCGCCGGCCCGCGGCCAGAGGGCCCGCCGCGGCCCTCGGGGAGCCTTCGGCGTTGGCACCGGCAGGGCACGAGACGGAGGTCCTGAGACGGGTCCGGGGGCACTCGTTCAACGGTGCTGCGCGCTGGGCTCAATCAGGGGGGCATGGTCAAGGGGGGCGGGAGGTGTGCAGCACCCCGCAAGTGCGGATAAGGGTGTGGGGGCGGGCGCGGAGTGGGTCGCGGGTGGTTGGTGGGGTTGGTCGTGGGGTGGGTCGCGGGTGGGTCCCGCGCGGGTCGCTGGCGAGGACGGCGTCAACAGCAGTAACACTAGCTGTAAGATGTTTCGCTCTTGTACGCTCGCCTGCCGTATCCCAAGCCCTAGATGCCCGCCCTCTTCGTCTTCGATCTTACGATTGGGGCATATGTTCCTTACTTGCCACGTGTAGTTGGCGCAGCCCCTAAATCAGGGAAGGGATGGAGGAGGGAAAGGACAAGGGGGAGGAAGAAGGATGGGTCGCGAGGAAGTCTCCGGCGACAGCGCAATTCCACACTTAATCGTTGGAAATCCACAACGAGAGCGCGATTCCTGAATGTCTAGGGCGCAGTGCTAGAGTACATTGAGGAAGTCTCTATCTTGAGAGAGCGATTCTTGGATTAATGAAAAGAATATCCCGCGCCACTGCGCGATTTTCAATTAACTGTGACGAGGCATCAGGCGGGAGTCGTTCTTCATTCGAACTTCCAAAGAATACCCCTGTCTGGCGACCATTTTGTTTCCTACTTATTTGCGTTGCTCCTTCTAGGGCTCGCGCATGTTGTTCACAAGGGGGATGTCTTGCGCCTCAGATTGTGTTACTGATCCCACGCTTACCACAACAGCGGCTCCCGCCTGATACATCTTCACAGTTAATTCAAAACCGCGCTCTCGCGCGAGACTTTAATTCAAAACCGCGCTCTCGCGCGAGACTTCCTTCGCCTAGAATCGAGCTTTCGCATAGTACTTACATGCGAGTCATTGAATCGAGCGCCTTCGACACTCAAGAATCACGCTTTCGCTTTGAATTCCCTTGGAATGATTCGAAGTCGCGTCCTCGTTCGAAACTTCCTCGCATGTCTAAGATTGGATCTACGGTTCAGCAACCCGCCCGCTCGACCCTGCCGTCTGGGCCCGCCTGCCCGATCCGCCTTAGAGGCATCGCCCGCCGTCCGTGTGGTTCTGCCATTTGTACTCCTGTGCCGAAGCCGCCTCTTGCATTATCCACCCTCCTCCCTTCTCCCCTTGTCTGTTCCCTTTTCCTTCGCGTCCCCTGTTTTAGGGGCTGCGCGAACGACACGTTGCAGGTAAAGAAAATATGCCCCCAAGGGGGGGCACGATCGAAGACGAAGAGGGCGGGTATTGAGGGCTGGGGAGATACATGTTGAGTGGCACGCGAGCGTATGAAAGTGACCAGAATCCAGAGGAGTGTTGTTGCTATTGCTGCTGCTTCTGTTGTTGTTGCTGTTGTAGCTGTTGTTGTAGTTGTAGTTGTTGTTGCTGCTGTTGTAAGAGAGGGGGGCCAACTATATTGTCTGAGGCAGTATTCCCCCTTGTAGCAAACAGGGTGCGGGCACCAGCAGGGTCACTTCAATTGCAAAAACACCACGTGCACGAGAGGGGGGGATCGATCTAATTGCTTTACGATATGGGAACTCAACAACAAGAATCGTCAACTTGGAAGACCACCTGTATGGCCAATTCAATATGACCGATATTGTACCGCTCGTGCTGGAGAATCCCCGTTGCGTCGGCTGGATTCGTTTTGAATTTCTGCCAGAAGGTGCCCCGGGGAATAGTGGAACCTGTACCTTTTTGCGTCCCCAAGTCTTCGCAGTTGGCCTTGAAGTCTTGTGCCGCGAACTTCCCCTCTGAGCCACCGCGCTGAAGCATTACACATCATTTGTCGCCGCGCCGTTGTTGTCCGATGCGGGGCCGGCGGGCAAAGTCCGCCTCGGACGCATATTTTGCCGTTGGTTTGCCATGGTGTCGGTTTCGTCTACTTGGGCGCGTTCAGATCGAGTGTCGCGGTGATATTTGGCCGGCGGAGGAAAACGGAGCCGGTTGGGCCGACGTTCAAGCGTAAGCTTCCCGCGTAGGGCCGCGTAGAAGTGCCGTCTCCTCCACGCGGTGTGCCTCGCTGGCGGTTCGCGCAAGCCGCCGCGCAAGGTCGCTATGCCTTCTCGCGTGAGATCCGTTTTTGTTCGTCAGTCATGTTTGTGTGATCACGTACCACGTCCCATCACCATTGCGACACATTGTCAAAACCTAAATCTGAAAGGCCCAGTGAGCTTGAGGCCAATGTCTGGTCTGGGATACAAGCTGGCGTTGAGCCCGACCTGAAAGATTTTACCGTGGCCATTGCCATCATGAGTTACCAGCGGGGGCGCAGCAGTGACATGGCGAATTGCCTTTGCAGGTGGGGACGGCGCTATCATGTCTTGCTTCACCATGGCTTTCAGGACGCGGACGCGTGAGTGAGAATTGGACGCTTGGGTTGATGAAACATGTGACATTCCATGTGGATGTCCTGGCAATGTTACTGTCTCCCACGAAAAAATACAACTCTACAGGCATCGACGGATGACGGGCGCATCTTAGCCAGCGTGGGCCCCAAATAAGTTGTTACTGGCAGTCTCATATATGTACACGTCTTTCTATGTATATATGTATATATACACATATGTGTGTATATATACATATATGTATATATATATACATATGTATATATATATATACATATATGTATTGACAGAAAACAGAGGATGCACAAACTAGGTGGTGCAAACTATCGGGTGCAATCGATGTGGCGCGACAGATATTGCGTGCTACGTGGTGCAATCAATGTTGTGAAATCTATGTTGTACATCCGGTATAGTCCAGTATCTGTTGTGCAATGTATGTCGTAGATATGATACAACACGGGTTGTGCTGTCACTGCCGCGTCGCAGCACATGTTGTACAATCATTGTGGTGCAATTGATGCTTACAGATAAGTTGGCAGTTTCCATGCCCTTGCAAACATCCCACCCACCCACCCGCAACTTTGTTTGCCAAACACATGCGGCGGCGATTGCGATGAGCGTTTGGCGTTGGCTGATGCATCTCTGCGGCCGCGCTGGCCCGCGCATGCTCGCGCCCACAGCGGCCAGCTAGTTTGGCGCGACCGACGCGGCCGCGGAGGCGCTGACCGTTGGGCACGTCGCAGCGGGCACTTCAGACTTGGGCGGGCGCGGTATCATGGCGACGCCGGCAACGGTAGACACGATTAAGAGAGCAGCGATGATGGTGACGGTGGCGGCGATGACGGCTGCAAGGCCAATGGCGGCGTCGGTGTTGATCGCGCCCGCCGGTAGCGATTACGATGTCCCTGCGTCAGAGATGAAGAACAGAGCGTGTAACCACACCGCCTAACATATCATATACGAGAATCGCATACCATAGTATGGAACATGTCGTAGGAGTCCACGCCGTTACGGAGCAGTGCGTACCATCGCACGGCATCGCAGCACAGAGCATACCAGAGCACGACGACGCAAGCACACCATAGGGACTCATCGCAGAGTTGAACAAACCGAAGCCGAACATGTCACAACCTCACAACATAACATGACATGGCATTCCATGGCACAACGCCCCATAACAACGCATGCTATGGCATAACGAAGCATACATGTATACAGTTGCATCGCATACATTAGCATGCCATAACATAGCATAACACGACATAACATACCATGGCAGCGTCCGCCACAACACAACACATCACCACGACATATCACATCGCAACACACATGACAACTCATAACACGACAGAGCGCGTCACAAGGACGCAGCACCATCGTATAACATAACACATTCTGACACAAGCCGGAGCATATCATAATATAGCATGTCATGGCAGAGCAGGTCACACCGTAGCACGACACAAAATTGCATAATGTTTCATACGCTGGCAATTCATACCATGACAGAGCGCGGGGTATCACATTGTATCATAGCATGCGTTGGCGTATCATAGAGCCGAAACGTTGCAACGCTTTTGCGTTGCACAACATGTCCGAGTCTGACAGACAAGGCCACAGCATAACAATGCATGCAATGACACCATGGGCCACACACAGCACGACACAACACACCGCACCATGACACAATCAGATCATATCATAGCATCGCGTAAGACAACATATCTTAACGTTTTACACACCCACACATCACATCTTAACATAACACATGACCACCGCATTTCATAACATGGCAAAGCGTACCGTGACATAGCCCGGCCCAATGCATTATAACATAGCAAGACATCAGCGACAATGCAATATGACGGAGCGTCTGGCGGAGCAGAGCAGCGTACATAGCAAGACATCAGCGTATTGGCGAGCAGAGCATGACACAACGCAGCTTCGAGCACCATTGAATGCGAACGCGTACCACGACATGGCGCAGCATAATTCGGTTTACCACTACAAATCATAAGAAAGCCTCTCGGTTTTTTGCCATTGGTACAACCACGCCACCGAATCCAATGTTTTTTTTTCATATTTCACCATACCAGTGGACCGACTACCATAGCACAATGTACTGAACAAGACGTAGGGCACAGCGTAACAAGCATACCATAGCACAGCTCTTTATTTAGTGGTATTACTTTACTCTGGCGGAGAGCTTGACATAGCAACATAGGCGATACCTTCATTGAAGAGGCATTTCCTTATCATTCAGGTCACCATATGCTGCAATGGTCTCATTATTCCGTACACAACATCACTGAAATTCGAAGTCCAGAACATACACCGACAGGACAGACCATGCAGTAACACAATGCCGCCGAGCAGAAGAGCACATTCTACGACCAAGAACCTTGATTGGAGAGGAACGTGATGGTGTAGTATACCGTAGTGAAATACTATCAATTTCGAAGTGCATGCCGAGGTCTAGCTGGCCACTGGACCAAGCAGACGAAGGAATGACCGATTGGACGACGTATCACACGTGACAGGCGTCACGACGTCAAACGATATCGCCTTTAATTTCATTCTGCTCTGTATTATTGCTACGACTGCCACTGCTCCCCTTCCCCCTATTGATTGTTTCAGGACATGTGTTGGTGTTGGAGTCTCGGACCACACGTTTTGGAAACCAGTTTTCGCCTCAGGGTTTATTTTGGTTTATCTCGTCAGGGTCTCTGGGGCCGCTCGATTTCAGGAGAACAGCAATCTGCGACTTGGTCAGACAGCCGCAGTGGCTGACACCACCGAGCCACGCGCGCATCGTTTCATTGGGCGCGTGCACCGTTGGGATCAAACGCTGAACGTTTCGGTAAGGATCGCTTGAAGCAGAGTAGTTATCTTATTCTTGGTTATATCTTCCACATCTGAATTGCACCGTGTTGATGTACCTGCCGAACTCATGTATAGCATGTGGAGGCCGTTCTCTTTCGAGGAGGCCGTACCCTTTCGATAAAGCAGCTCGTTGACGCCAGGGCCCGTGCCATCGCGCAGCAGTCAGGAGGAGGAGGAGGAGGAGGAGGAGGAGGAGGAGGAGCAGCAGCAGGAGGAGGAGGAGGAGCAGCAGCAGGAGGAAAAGGAGGAGGGGGGGAGGAGGAGGAGGAGGAGGAGGAGGAGGAGGAGGAGGAGGAGGAGGAGGAGGAGGAGGAGCAGGGGCAGGAGGAGGAGGAGGAGGAGGATGAGGAGGGGGATAGGGGAATAGGAGGATGAGGAGGAGGAGAAGATGGAGGAGAAGAGCAGGAGGGGAAGCAGGAAGAGGAGGAGCATGAGGAGGAGGAGAAGGAGGAGGAGGAGGAGGAGCAGGAGGAGGGGTGGGAGGAAGGGCAGGGGCAGGAGGAGGAGGAGGAGAAGAAAGCTGATTGCCGCTATCCCGCTGCAACAGACAAACGATGAGCTCGCTGCCGCCATGCGGTTGGAAGCGCGTCGTCACAGACATCTAGCTGAGGAGCGCTCGGGTGGGAGAGCAGAATCGTCCCCCTTGAACCATCAGGCTGACGCCACTCCCCCCAGGTCGCCCAGAGGAGCAGCGCAGGCACTGGGCTTAAAGTCAACCCGCAGAATAAGGATGGGCATCTTTCCAAAGGTTACCCTTGCATCCTTGCCTCCTCGGTCCATCCTTGGTCACTTTCCTTGGCCTCGCTCCGCTCGAAAAGCTTCGAAATGTGCGTCCAAGGCCCTCTCATCTTTATCGCGCATCCTTCTGATGCGGGCTGGCTGTAGCAAGGCAGGCAGCGCGCAGAGGCAGATCGGCAACACGAGGGGCGGCCCAGCGAATGGCGCAGGGCAGGGGACGGGGGGAGGAGGAGGAAGGAGGAGGCGGAGGACGAGGAGGACGAGGAGGAGGCGGAAAAGGAGGAGGAGGAGGAAAAGGAGGAGGAGGAGGAGGAGAAGGAGGAGGAGGAGGAGGAGAAGGAGGAGGAGGAGGGAGGAGGAGGAGGAGGAGGGAGGAGGAGGAGAAGGAGGTAGGAGGAGGAGGAGGAGGAGGAGGAGAGGAGGAGGAGGAGGAGGAGGAGGAGGGAGATGGAGGGAGGAGGGGGATTCGGCACCGCGAGGGGCGGCGCAGGGGGCGGAGGCCCGCGGGCCCAGCGCCCGCCGCACCCCGCCAGGCGGCTCCATCTTCGGCGCACCGCGGGCTGGCTCGGGAGGCACCCGCGGGCCTGCGGCGGCCGCGCGCGCGCGTGCGTCGACGGTGGCCTCGCACGGGCAGCGCACTTTTCAATTATGTGTATGTGTGTGTGTGTGTGTTTTCTCTCTCTCTCTCATTCTCTCTCTCTCTCTCTAAGAACCCCTTCTCTTCGTCCTCCTTCTCCTCTTCCTCCTCCCCCTCCTCAGCCTCATCCTCCGCCTCCTCCTCCTCCGCCTTCTCCTGCGCCTCTTTCTCCTCCTCTCTCTCTCTCTACATGTATAAATACATTCATATATATATATACATATATATATATATATGTTGATGGGTGTGTATATATATATTTATACACGCACCATGGAGGCCCCGCAGTTGCGAATCAGAGTGATGGGGGTGGGTGGGGGTGTTGTCGGCAGTCTGCGATTTTCGGGAGCAAGTTTGAAGGTATCCGCCGCAGGGCTATTTTTTCCATACGACACCAGGAGCCCGCCGCAGATGCGGATTCTGCGTCAACGCAATGTCGCAATGTGGGGGGCGGGTCGCGGGGAGGGTCGCGGGTGGGTCGCGGAATGGATGATGGCACCGAAGATTCAACATTTAGTTTACTACTATTCGTCTTTATCTGAACACGTGTCAACCAATCCCAATCCTTCGATACCCGCCCCAGTTCGTCTTTGATCGTTCCCCCTTCGGGGGCATCCCTTCCTTATAGAAAGGTGTAGTTGGCATGGGAACGAGCCGTCGCTGTTGACCCATTGGCAGCCGTTGCTGTCTCAGGGTGCGAGCCCTTGGAAGGGCACTTGGATTGAATCACAACGGGCACCGTAGGGGGCATCAACAATATATATTCTTCAGAAAGGAACGCTGAGCAACAACGACAACAACAGCAATCAGCATCTCGTTGTTTCGCAGATAATCCCGTGTCATTCAGCACACACTTGTGTATATACATATGTACACACATATCTATCTATACGTGTATAACTAAAGCTACACTCCAAGCCCTCGATGCCAGCTCTCTTCTTGTTCGATCGTAGACTGGTTTGGCGTACCAATTCCTTTCCTGTCATGCGTATTTGGCGCGGCCCTTGACATCAGGAGTAAGGGACGTAGCGGTAAAGGGAGAGAGCGAGGAGGACGAGAGCCGAGGATGGGATGGAGGAGGGAGGGTGACAGAGAATGGGAAGGAGAAGATGGAGGATAAAAGGGGCTACCCAGAGGGATTCGCTGGAGGGGATGGCAAGGACGGTTCAGGCGAGAGGGCGCGCGCATGCCGAAAGCATTCGAACGCCGTTGCGCGCTAGCGTGGAGGGGGGCGCGGTCCTTACCAATGAATACCATGCGGGCCACTCGCGCCCTTTGGCCGCGCGCGAATGTCGAACTTCTTCCACACACACACAAACACACCTCATCACGGGCACGTGGACACTATCATCGTCACTCGCCTCGCCGCCTTCACCGTCATCATTGTCACCCGTATCACTATTATCGGATATTTTCTTTCGTTGTCGCCCGATTCGCACTGAAGTTCTCTCGCGCTTACCCTTCACGCTGTTCTTGGCCCCATAGTGGGCTCCACCGAGTGTTTCCGTGTCGCAGTTCGCATGTGGGCGTCGCACCCGTTTCGGGACAGCGCTCATACGTTTCGTGGCCCCATACGGAGATCCACCCAAGGCCTCCATGGCGCAGATCGCATGTGGGCGTCATTCTCTTTTCGGCACGTCCCTCACACGGTTCGTGGCCCCATAGGGAGATCCACCTAAGGCCTCAGTGACACAGTTCGCATGTGGGCGTCACCCTTTTTTTCCGGTCCACCCATCACACGTTTCGTGGCCCCATGGGGTGTTCCACCCAAGTTCCTATTGGCGCAGTTCGTTTCGGCACACCACTTACTCGCTTCTTGGCCCCATCGAGAGCTCCATCGAGTGCCCCCGTGGTACATTTCGCATGCAGGCGTCACCCTCGCTTCGGCACATCACTCACACGCTTCGTGGCCCCATAGGGAGCTCCACCGAGTGCCTCCTTGGCGCGGTGCGCATGCGGATCCCCGCTCATGTCGGCACACCCCTCACACGTTTCGCGGCCCGTGAGGAGCTCCACCGAGTGCTTCCGCGGAGCAATTCGCATGCGATTCGTCCAACGAAGGCGATTGCCCCACATGGCTGGGTCCGTCGCCAGGGTGACTCGTCTGCCTGGGCCTAGGGCGCGCGCCCGCAGGAGTTTCGTCAGTTGAGCGCAGTTCCATGCTCATGCCACCGTTCGGCGAAGACGACCTCCTGATTCCTGTTTCCTCCATGCCTCTTACTTCGCCTCCTAACTCCAACTTCGCGCCTGTCGCCGCACTGGTGTGCTTTCGGGGGGGGGGGAAGCGATGTGCTGCCAGACGGGGGGCGAAAACAAGACCCGGCCTCCGCAATGCCAGCTGCGCAGCTATCGTCGCACCCGTGATATTTCAGGAAGTCCAGCGGAACGGGGCCACATCTGGGTCCACGTGAGACCTCGCCTCCTTGGGCGGTGTCAACAGCTCACTTGTCGGGGTGGGTCCCCATTCGATTCCAAGTGAGGCCTCGCTGCCCTGGGCGCTGCCCACTGCGCAATTGTGGTATCCTGTGGTCTCCTGCCGTCGCCCGTGGTGTCTTGTAGTGGCAGGCACCAGGGTGAGCCCGCCTCGTCCGCAGGACCCAGTTCCCAAGGGTATTGGAATGTTTTGAGGGTTTGGCGAGGAAGGGAAGGGGGGAATGGGGGGGGGGGAGAAGGGCAAGCTAGGTGCCCTCGCGCCGTATCTGACATCACACCCTTCCCACACGTCCCTTCCAATTGCGCTGATGTTGGCTTCTGTCTGCCCACGGGAGCTGTGCACAGTGGGGGGAGGGGGCGCGGGAGGGAACAGGGGCGCGGCGACAACGACACGGGCTTGGATCCAGAGTCGTGGCCCGCGCTGGGGCGAGAGCGCAGCTCTCGACGGCAGGAGCAAATCGTGGACCCGAAGAGAAATATGGCCAACGCTGCAGCGGCAACACAACTCCTCCTCCTCCTCCTCCTCCTCCTCCTCCTCCTCCTCCTCCTCCTCCTCCTCCTCCTCCTCCTCCTCCTCCTCCTCCTCCTCCTCCTCCTCCTCCTCCTCCCTCCTCCTCCTCCTCCTCCTCCTCCTCCTCCTCCTCCTCCTCCTCCTCCTCCTCCTCCTCCCTTTCCTCCTCCTCCTCCCCCTCCCCCTCCTCCTCCTCCTCCTCCTCCTCCTCCTCCTCCTCCTCCTCCTCCTCCTCCTCCTCCTCCTCCTCCTCCTTCTCCTCCTCCTCCTTCTCCTCCTCCTCCTCCTCCTCCTCCTCTTCGAAACACGAGGAACGTTCCGACTGAACACAGCATGTGCCAATCCAGCCTTTTGAGATCTCACACGCCCCCCAAAGGTATGCAGGACAAGAGTGTAGACTGGCATTCCTACTTGGTAAGTGCAGATGGGGAGGGGGGAGGGAAACCCATACATTCTGCAATGCTGTATGCCTCAATGCTTGTTGTCATAGCAGTGTTTGCTCGGAGCCATGGACCGATCGATCAACACCGCGCTGCAATTCACAACCGGCGTCCCTAAACCTCCCTCCCCGCCTCCACAATCCATGGGTGTAGGTTGCACCCAGCACCGTCTGCATGGACGCCCATTGGAGCGTTGCTCTCGTTACAGACGTCGGTCGCCGAGATTAGCAGCGGCGTTTCTGCCATCACTTCTCTGGCGGACGGCACGTGCCACATGTGTTTTGCGGATGGCTGCGTGAGCAGGAGGATCCGCACGGCACCCATGATCAGGGATGGTTCCATGGGGGCGGGCCCTGTTGTGTTGCTCGAGGGCCAGGTGTATGGGATGGAGGAGGAGGAGGAGGAGGAGGAGGAGGAGGAGGAGGAGGAGGTTGGGCACGGTGGTGGCGGGCATCGGCTCCAAATTACAGGCCTACCAAGCCTGTGGGTATGATTCACTCCCGTTGCCAGGGGACCTGGAGGGGAGGGTTCATGTTCCTTGTGCTTCTCATCTTCTTTAGTCTTCCTCCTCGTCTCACCTCCTCCATCCTGCTCTGCATCCTCCTCCGCCTCCTCCTTCTCATCCCTCTCTCATCCAATTCATCTTCCATCCTCCAACATTCTGTCCCCAGCTAGTCGCGACCCTCCTATCCCTCTCTCTCTCTCTACCTCAGCCTCGTCGTCCTCCTCCCTCCTCCCACGTTACCTCCTCCATCATCGACTCATCCTCGTCCTCCGTGTTTCTTTTCGGCTTCATCCTCCTTGTCCTCTCTTTTGGCCCTCCTCCATCTGTTTTCCTTCTGCTTCCCTGCATCCCTCTTCCTCCTTTTCTTCATCTTGCTTCTCCTGTTATTTCTTCTTCTTGGCCTTGTTCCTGTCGCTGTGCTTCCCATCTATCCGCCTCTTCCCCCGCTTCCCACCTCTACATTATCTTGCTCTAAGCCGCTTGAAACAATCACTGTTATGGCCAGCACCTTACTTTGCTTTGGGGAACAAAGCTGATATGGCTGATGCTAATTCCTCTCGCCCCTTCCTGCCCCGCCTCAGTGGTTTTGTTTCCTCCTCACGCTGATGCTTGAAATGCTGTCGCGGTTGCCGTTGTGCTTGCTGTTCTTGTTCAGGTTCATCGTCTCGCCGTTGTCCGCCGTTCCCCCTGGTCATGTATTCGTGTTCCGTTTCCTCCTCCTCCGTTTCCCCCTCCTCTCTTCAAAGGTTTTTCGGTCGTCTTTCTGGACGTGCTATGGTTCGTCATGCGTCTGCGCGTTCTCTCACCTTGCAGGATCTAACCCTGCGACGAGTGGCTCTGCTTCCATCCTCGAGACCAGCCAGACCAGCCAGAGCAACCGTATCTGTCAGAGCAGCTGTATCACCTGGCCCACCGACACCAGCCGCACCAAAACCGAGGAGCCAGACGATTTGAACCAGATCAAATAGGAAGACATGGTTGACTGAGGGTACCACACGGTCGAACAAACAACATCCGCGAGACAAACGGCCACACTATTCTCCTCG